TACACCACAGTGTACATGTAGTAAGGTCCTTACCGATTGAACTTTATTATTTGTATACTGATTTTCGACACGTTGTTTGACACTTGCATTGTTGGCAAGTGTTAATTGGATGGAAAAAATGTTTGAAAATTTAATGGTCCAACATGGTAATTTCACGTGGCAAAGTGTAAACTAAAGTGTACACCATAGTGTACATGTAGCATGGTCCTTTTGCTATGGAACTTTATTGTTTGTACACTGATTTTTAGCACGTTGTTTGACACTTGCATTGTTGTCAAGTGTCAATTGGATGGGAAAACTATTTGAAATTTTAAATGTTCAACATGGTAATATCACGTGGCAAAGTGTAAACAAAAGTGTACACCACAGTGTGCATGTCTCAAGGCTCTTACAGATTGAAGTTTGCTATTTATGCACAGATTTTTGACACGTTGTTTGACACTTACATTGTTGTCATGTGTCAATTGGATGGGAAAACAGCTTGACACATGTGGCAACTTACCGATTGAACTTTACTATTTGTACACTGATTTTTGACATGTTGTTTGACACTAGCAGTGATGTTAAGTGTCAATTGGATGAGAAAAAAGTTGAAAATTTAAACTTTCCAACTGGGTAATGTCACGTGGTAAATTGTAAACTAAAGTGTACATATAGCAAGGTTCATACCGATTGAACTTTGCTTTGTACACTGATTTTTGACATGTTATTTGACACTTTGATTGTTGTCAAGTGTCAATTGGATGGGAAAATTGCTTGAAATTTAAAAAATCCAACTGGAAAATGTCATGTGCCAAAGTGTAAACTAAAGTATGTACAAAATAGCGTACATGTTACAAGGTTCTTACCGATTGAACTTTGTTGTTTGTACACTGATTTTTGACACGTTATTTGACACTTGCATTGTTGTCAAGTGTCAATTGGATGGGAAAATTGTTCGAAATTTAAATTGTCTAACAGGGTAATGTCACGTGGCAAAGTGTAAACTAAAGTGTGTACCAGAGTGTATATGTGGCAAGGTCCTTACCGATTGACCTTTACTATTTGTACACTGATTTTTGACACGTTGTTTGACACTTGCATTGTTTTCAAGTGTCAATTGGATGGGAAAACTATTTGAAATTTAAACTGTCCAACAGGGTAATGTCACGTGGCAAAGTGTAAACTAAAGTGTACCCCAAAGTCTACATGTAGCAAGGTTGTAACCGATTGAACTTTGCTATTTGTACGTTGATTCTTGACACGTTGTTTGACACATTCACTATTGTCAAGTGTCGATTGGATTAGAAAATAGTTTGAAATTGAAACTGTCCAGCCGGGTAATGTCACGTGGCAAAGTATAAACTAAAGTTTATACACCATAGTGTACATGTAGCAAGGTTCTTGCCGATTGAACTTTGCTAATTGTACACTATTTTTTGACACGTTGTTTGACACTTGCATTATTGTCAAGTGTCAATTGGAAGTGAGAACTATTTGAAATTTTAACTATTCAGCGGGGTAATGTCACGTGGTAAAGTGTAAACTAAAGGGTAGACCATAGTGTACATGTCGCAAGGTTCCTACCGATTGAACTTTGCTACTTGTACACTGATTTTTGACACGTTGTTAGATACTTCCATTGTTCTCAAGTGTCAATTGGATGGAAAAACTATTTGAAATTTGAACTGTCCATCAGTGTAATGTCATGTGACAAAGTGTACTCCATAGTTTACATGTCGCAAGGTTCTTATCGATTGAACTTTGCTGTTTGTACACTGATATTTGACACGTTGTTTGACACTTGCATTGTTGTCAAGGGTTAATTGGATAGGAAAACTATTTGAAATTTAAACTGTCCAACAGGGTAATGTCACGTGGCAAAGCGTAAACTAAAGTGTCGACCATAGTGTATATGTAGCAAGCTTCTTACCAAATGTACTTTGCTATTTCTGCACTAATTTTTAACACGTTGTTTGACACTTGCATTGTTGTCAAGTGTCAATTGGATGGGAAAACTGTTTGAAATTTAAACTATCCAATAGGGTAATGTCATGTGGCAAAGTGTAAACTAAAGTGTACACCATAGTGTAGATGTAGCAAGGTTCTTACCAATTGAACTTTGCTATTTGTGCACTGATTTTTAACATGATGTTTGACACTTACATTATTGTCAAGTGTCAATTGGATTGGAAAAAAATTTTGAAATTTAAGCTATCCAATGGGGTAATGTCACGTGGCAAAGTGTAAACTGAAGTGTACACCATAGTGTATATGTGGTAAGATTCTTTCCAATTCAACTTTACTATTTATGCACAGATTTTGAACAAATTGTTTGATACTTGCATTGTTGGCAAGTGTCAATTGGATGGGAAAATTGTTTGAGATTTAAACTGTCCATCAGGGCAATGTCACGTGATAAAGTGTAAACCAAAGTGTACTCCATAGTTTACATATCGCAAGGTTCTTATTGATTGAACTTTACTGTTTGTACACTGATTTTTGACATGTTGATTGACACTTGTATTGTTGTCAAGTGTCAATTGGATGGAAAAACTGTTTGAAATTTAAACTGTCCAATAGGATAATGTCACGTGGCAAAGTGTAAACTAAAGTGTAGACCATAGTGCATATGTAGCAAGCTTCTTACCGATTGAACTTTGCTATTTGTGCACTGATTTTTGACATGTTCACTACAAGAAAAATGGCATTTGGCAACATTCACCAATTGTACGTTGCTAAAAGGGGTTTATTGCAACATTCAGCAAATGCATGTTGCCATTGGTTGAGAAAATGAAGATTTAGCAACGTTTTTTGAGTGGTTGTTGCTAATACACCCTTTCACAACGTTCAAAGGCCGTTGTTGTTTTTTTTTTTTTGGCAACGCGCAATGCACGTTGCTGTAGATGTTTTAGCAACGTTCTTTAAATGTTGCCGTTAATTAGTTTCAGCAACGTTCATTGAACGTTGCCGTTAACAAGTTTTGACAACGAGCAATGCACTTTGCTGTATATTTTTTAGCAACGTTCATTGAACGTTGCCGTTGGTTGGTTTTAGCAACGTTCACTGAACGTTGCGGTTAAGTCTCTTTAGCAACGGTCTTTGACCGTTGTCGTTAATTCCGACATTAAAATATAAATCATACAAAATTTGACCCAGACCCGACCCACACCCGGACCCGACCCGCACCCTTTTAGTTTGTAAAAAACCCAATCCAGCCCTATAGGTGTCTTCCTCGTCTCTCACTGCAATTGTCCGTATTCTAGTCAACACGGCAACACGCGGTGAATTAGCCCTAACCCTCTTCTAATTTTTCAATTTATTAGCCCTAACCCTCTTCTCTCTGCAAATCTATTTGGTTTGTAAGGGACTCTCTTAGTCTGTAACTGTAAGATTTGAACGCTCTCTATCCCTATGCTTTTCTATATATCTGTGTTCGTTTTTTTTTTGTATGTATATAAATTTCAATTTTTGTGCGTGTTTATTCAATTCTTGATTTTTCGGCGATTTAACTGTTTGATATGGGTTCTTTGTTTGTTCGTTAGGGTTAAATAGTATGCAGTGATTTGTTCGATTGCTATCTTTTCTTAATTCTCCCCTCTTTTTTGTGTGTTATTGTTTTCTTTTTTTATACATAGGGAGGGGTAGATTGCAGTATGATGTATTGTCTTGGACTTGTTGAGTATAAATTGCTCTTATTTTTTCCTTTCAAGAAAAAGGCGAAATTACACTGATCCTGAAATCAGTATGAGGTTTTTCTTCCCCTGACTTTGCATATTTTACTAGATAATTTGCTAGCTGCAAAATTAGTCTTTTTTCAAAATAAGAAGACCCTGATTTTCAATTGAGTTATATGGGAAAATGATTTTATGGGTTATCAATTTGTCTCTTTTGAGTATGGAAGAAATCCAGGTCATAAGAGTTCATGCCAAATTTGAAGTCTCCCTTAATATTCTATCGAATTTATATATAGCAGAAGTTATATGATGACCATCGAATTTTGTGATTTTCTTTGTAAATTTCAGTTTTTTGTCCTCAAATTATGTGCAAATATATATCTCCAAATTGGTATTTTTGGCAGATTTTTACTTGAATTTCGATGCCTCACCTGTCTATATGTTGTTTACTTTACTGGTTCAATGCCCTACCTGTATGTGACCATATTGGTGTTTCTATTGAAGTATTTGATCAACTGTTAACCGCCAGTGGTTTCTATCAATGAGCAATTTATTCTAATTTTTTTAGACTTTTAGTTAACACTGACCAGTAAAATGAGTAGAAATAAGTAAAAGAGAGAGAAAATGATTATAAGCAAAGCAACAAACGAAGCTTAATATTTAGAGGTCTTAACTGATTGTAACTAGACTAGTATTCAAGGATTTAATTATCTTGCAGAAGCCAATTTGCTTTTTCTGGAATCTCCTATTCGAGTTGGGTTCTCATATTCCAATATATCTTTTGATTACACCAAATTAGATGATGGATTTGTAGGTAATTCACTGTCAATGAAAGTCGAGAACAAACGTGTGAGCATGTTTGGCTAAGCTCAAAAAAAGTAGTATCAGTTTTTTGATAATTCTTCTTGCTTTTGATAATTTCTTACTGTACGTTCATTAGTAATTTTAAAATCCCACTTTATTTGTTTAACATATCTTCACTGGGTGTTTTGGAATTATTATAGAAAGTCGGTCAAGTGAACAAGGGGCCATTTAGTTGATGATGATGCTGGACGAATAGCTGCTTATAATAAATCGAAGCATAGGGCTTTGTGATTGGCCTATAATAGACCGAAACAAAGGGCCATTTAGTTCACAGTTTGAATTGTTGCTGTTCAATGTTTGATAGTATCATAATGGACAAAGAATGGCTGCAACTATCAAGGTTACCATCTGAAACAAAATCTTATAAATCTAGTTTCAAAATTTAACAATAATATAAAATGATCATACAATTGTTGTTGTAGATTTTCAGAACTATACAGAGACGGAGCACGGAAGTTTGTTGGTTTATATTGTTTTCCTTGACAGGAAAAAAGTTCTAAGTTCAGCAAAATGAGAAGTAGTCAGAAGCTTCTCCATACTATGGGTCGGAAGGGTTATTCACGTATGGCTCACGATTTGGTACAAGAACTATCTTTCTTTATTTTTGATATGTAACTTTATTGATTTCATATACGTGTCTATGATTGAGTTGAATATTGTTATTGTAGAAAAGAAAGAATCCAAATATAACAGGATTGAGAACGACAGTATGGACTCATGGACATCTTCGAAAGGATGGGAATCCAATAAATGAGGCGGTTGCTGAAACTTTGGTACGTGTATTGTGTGTGTGTGTGTGTGTATATATATATATATATATATTACCAGAGAGTGTGTGTAGATCTAGTGTAATATTTAAGTTTCATAAGTGCAGATGAAGATAAAAGATTATGCCGAGTCAATTTCTGATACACCAGCCGAAAATTCGATTCGAGATGATGATGTTGCTCGAATTTTAGGTCCCGAGCGTCGTGGACGAGTAAGGGGACTTGGACTTGGGGTTACACCATCAAAAATAGATGGAAATACACAAAGCAATGAGAAAGTGAGAGACCTTGAGAACAAATTACAAACTCAATCAGTAAGGATGGAAGCACTCGAAGAAAAGGTTGAAGCACTTCTGAAGTTATCCCAGGTTATACTTTGCTATTACATAGAATATGATAGCAGAACTGAATATATCTTAACATTTCAATAAGTTTAATTTTTTTGTATTATTTTGCAGAATCAAAATAAGAATGTAGAGGATATGAGTTCACGTGCTTTTACTCCACAGGTTTTTGTATTGTATATTATTTTTTCAATATAAATTCAGATTATATCATACTAGTGTTAAAAATAGACTTTATTTTAATGCGAATTTGTAGTCTCAATAAGGAAGTGGTATGGAGGGAGGTATTGCACCAGTGGAAAATGGAAAGTGTCAACTATTGCACTGGTACTTGGTTGAGGAGGAAATTGTAGGCGAAGGGAAGATTGCATCAATAGACCCAAGTACAAATGTGCATCACGTGCCACTAGGACGAGATTGTTGGAAGGTTTGGGTTGACGAGGTGTACATGAGTCATTTGCCCTTATATAGACCAACGGAAGAATTTCGAGTTCTTAGTGACGCCATAGGAAGTACTATTGCTTGGCCAAAGAGCTGCATTAGACTTATTTGACGAAGGTACTTTATAAATTTCTACATTTTTTTCATTTACGTATTTGTCATTAAACATGTTTCAAGAGTGGCTATATATGTGTGCATACACAAGTTTACAACCTTGAATGTGGAAGTTTGTTCATGGCATTACTAATGAGTGCACAATGGCTTCTCTTAAAAAAGAAATTGATCTTATTTTTAAAAATCAATCAAGTTTTAATTATGAGCTTGTATTCTTGAGTGTGTGATTCAATTTTTTCTTTAAATGACATAAATCTGCTGCTATATACGTTGAATGAGTATAGACTGGTTATGTAAGAAGAATGAATATAGTTGTGTCTTAAAAAGCTTTAAAGGACATTGTATTGTTTCTAAATTGTTTGCTCTTTTTCATTAAGTTGTTGTTATATTCTTTCTTTCTTGCAGTTACATGGAGCTAAAGTGAGTTCGAAAATTTCTTTTGAGCTTGTATCGTCTTGGATCTCGTCTATGTAAAAAGATTTGGCTGGGACTCGTTAGAAGCTTCGGTTATGAATCGTTTACATAACTTTTAGACATTTTTCATAGTTCTTTGGTTATATGGTGTATATTTTTGAATTGAAGTATTTATTATGTTTTGATGAAGTAATATTGCATATCGGATCGTGTTTATTGGCTTAATGAAGCACTTTTAATTTTTTGTTGGCTTAAGGTACTTATGCGTAGATAGTAAAAATATGTTTTTAATTCACAGGTTTAATTGGCAGAAAAAATATAAAATAATTGATCAGAAAGATAAAAATGACATTTATGACAAACTCCAGTTTCGGCAACGTGCAAGAGCACGTTGCTGAAACTTGGTTTCGTTGCAAGTTTTGGCAACGTGCAAGAGCACGTTGCCGAAACCCCACTTCGGCAACGTGCATCTTGCACGTTGCCGAAACTTGGTTTCGTTGCAAGTTTTGGCAACGTGCAAGAGCACGTTGCCGAAACTGGGTTTCTGGAGTTTCGGCAACGTGCAAGAGCACGTTGTCGGAACCTTGCCGAAGAGGAGTTTCGGCAACGTGCTCTTGCACGTTGTCGAAACTGGGTTTCAGCAACCAGTTTCGACAACGTGCAATGCACGTTGCCGAAACCCCACTTCGGCAACGTGCTCTTGCACGTTGCCGAAACTCATTGCTCTATGGCAACGTCTCATCCCATAACAGACGCCTGAACGTTGCCATAAGTCTACGGCAACGTTTTCTGCCTGTTGCCAAAAGTGATTTTTGGTGTAGTGGTTGTTTGACACTTGCATTATTGTCAAGTGTCAATTGGATGGAAAAACTGCTTGAAATTAAAACGATCCAACAGGGTAATGCCACATGGCAAAGTGTAAACTAAAGTGTACATCATAGTGTATATGTAGCAAGGCTCTTACCGATTGAACTTTGCTATTTGTACATTGATTTTTGACCTGATGTTTGACACTTATATTGTTGTCAAGTGTCAATTGGATTGTAAATTTTTTTGAAATTTAACTATCCAATAGGGTAATGTCATGTGGGAATGTGTAAATTGAAGTGTACTCCACGGTGTATATGTATCAAGGTTCTTACTGATTGACCTTTGCTACTTGTGTATTGATTTTTGACATGTTGTTTGACACTTGCATTGTTTTCAAGTGTCGATTGGATGGAAAAACTGTTTGAAATACAAATTGTCCAATAGGGTAATATCACATGGCAGTGTAAACTAAAATGTACACCGTAGTGTACATGTCGCAAGGTTATTACCGATTGAACTTTGCTATTTGTACACTGATTTTTGACACATCATTTGATACTGGCATTGTTATCAAGTGTCAATTTTGATTGGAAAATTGTTTGAAAGTTATACTGTCTAGTAGGGTAATGTTATGTGGCAAAGTGTAAACTAAAGTGTGTACACAATAGTAAACATGTAGCAAGGTTCTTACCGATTGAACTTTACAATTTGTGCACTGATTTTTGACATGGTCTTTGACACTTGCATTGTTTTCAAGTATCAATTTGATGGGAAAACATTTTGAAATTTAAGCTATCCAAAAGGGCAATGTCACGTGGCAAAGAGTAAATTAAAGCGTACACCATAGTGTACATGTACGAAGGTCCTTACCGATTGAACTTTACTATTTGTATATTAGTGTTTGACACATTGTTTGACACTTGCACTGTTGTCAAGTGTCAACTAAATGGGAAAACTGGTCGAAATTTAAACTGTCCAACAGCGTAATATCACGTGGCAAAGTGTGAACTAAAGTGTGCACCATAGTGTACATGTAATAAGGTTCTTACCGATTGAACTTTGCTACTTGTACACTGATATTTGACACGTTGTTTAACACTTACATTATTTTCGAGTGTTAATTGGATGGGAATACTGTTTGAAATTTAAGCTGTCCAACAGGGTAATGTGACATGGCAAAGTGTAAATTAAAGCGTACACCATAACGTACATGAAGCAAGGTCCTTACAGATTTGACTTTGGTATTTGTATACTGATTTTTGACATGTTGTTTGACATTTACATTCTTGTCAAGTGTTAATTGGACGTCAAAACTATTTGAAAATTAAACTGTCCAACAGGGTAATGTCACGTGGTAAAGTGTAAACTAAAGTGTACACCATAGTGTTCTTGTAGCAGGGTTCTTACCGATTGAACTTTGCTATTTGTACATTGATTTTTGACACATTGTTTGACACTTGCATTGTTGTCAAGTGTCAATTGGATGGGAAAACTATTTGAAATTTAAATTGTCTAGCTGGGTAAGGTCACGTGACAAAGTGTAAACTGAAGTGTGTACACCATAGTGTACATGTAACATGGTTCTTACCGATTGAAGTTTGCTATTTGTACACTTATTTTTGATTTATTTTTTTACACTTGCATTGTTATCAAGGGTCAATTGGATGGGAATACTGTTTGAAATTCAAACTATCTAATAGGGTAATGTCACTTGGTAAAGTGTAAACAAAAGTGTACGCCATAGTGTACATGTAGCATGGTTCATACCGATTGAACTTTTCTATTTATACACTGATTTTTGACACGTTATGTGACAATTGAGTTGTCGTCAAGTGTCAATTGGATGGGAAAAGTGTAACGCCCCATTTTTTTTACTAAGCATAAACACGGGAACGTTACGAAAACTCATTTTTCTTTAATTAAAAAAATGCGGAACTATATAAAATTCTTCAATAAACAAATAATTGTAACGTTTAAATTAAAATTATTGAAAGCGTATCTAACCATAAACATAAACTCCTAAGTAATTCAAATAATGTGTTCTAAATTAAAATAAACAATTTGCTAAATTTAAAATGGCAAACTTATTTATTTTTCTCTATTCTTTATCCACTTGACAGTCCGCATCACCAATTCTCCACTGTTCCAATCGACCCGAACTAATCTGAAAAATTAATGTAAGAGTGAGTATTAAAATACCCAGTAAGATACGTGCAAATTTCCATACACAGGTATATAACAAATAAATAATACACTTCATACCGCTCTTCTCTTATGGAGTATATCGGTGACCAAGCGACACACCCATCTTAGGTCCTCTTAATTTCCATGTAGAAATTTCATATCTCTTTCTCTAGAACCCGAAGGTCCACTAGCATTCCATGCATATTTAATCCCACACTCTTTCCTCTTTCTCTCTCTCTCTCTCTCTCTCTCTCTCTCTCTCTCTCTCTCTTTCTTTCTTCTCTCTCTTTCATGTGTGAATATTTTTTGGTGTGGTAAAATATGAAATCCTTGCCTAGTATTTATAGGCGTAGGCTAGAGTAGTAGATAAACCAAAACTTTGATTTGATAAAGTCAAATCCAATGTGGCACGTATCATAAAAAAATTGTACTTTATCATTATTTTATTCCATCTAAAAGAACTACCATACCTATCCAATAACAACGTGGCAGCCAATCAATCAAATTCAAAATGGGTTAATATTATACTTCAAAAAAATGAGTAAAATTAAAAGACACACCTCACACGTTTCTAAAGAGAGAAAATGAATTGGATTAAAACTATATAAAATTATATTTATCTTATTTTTTTTCAATTGGGTATAACTTAATACGTTCTTATCCAAAATAACTTTTCTCGAGTCATAGACTTCTAATTAATTACGACCTTCGAAATGAGTCTAATATTGATGTACATATCATTACTTTATCAAAATCCAATTATTTGACCCCAAATATATAATATATTAATATTTATTTCACCTTAATCCTTCACTTTCAAAATAATATAATAATTTATTTATTTTCTTAAAAAAATTTCGGAATGTTACAAAAAGTATTTGAAATTTAAACTATCCAACAGGGTAATGTCACGTGGTAAACTGTAAACTAAAGTGTATACCATGGTGTACATGTCGCAAGGTTCTTATCGATTGAACTTTGCTATTTGTACACTAATTTTTGATACGTTGTTTGATACTTGCATTGTTGTCAAGTGTCAATTGGATGGGAAAATTATTTGACTTTTAAACTGTCCGATAGGAAAATGTAGCGTGGCAAAGTGTAAACTAAAGTGTACACCATAGTGTACATGTAGCAAGGTTCTTACCGATTGACCTTTGTTATTTGTACACTGATTTTTGATACATTGTTCAACACTTACATTGTTGTCAAGTGTCAATTGGATGGGCAAATTTTTTGAAATTTAAA